CCCTCTCAGGTGGTGCCGTATCCATTGGCAAGGGACTCGGCTGGCAAATGCTACCAGGTTACCTGCAAGGCTGAATTAAAGGAGCTGAAGGCCTGAAGGCCCTGCTCCTGCTTCTTCCCTCACAAGTAGTGGCATGGGAAGAGCTGGAATTGCCCAGAACAATTCCAGAGCTGAGGGCTGAGGGCTGCACAGTGTGCTGTATTTGTGCTGTCCCAGGGCCCCTGTCAGGAGTGGAGGGTGGGTACCAGGTGCCCCCATGCTGCCTGGTGAGCAAGCTACTTTCCCAGCTGTTATGGTTTGTGTCTAGTCCCCGCAAAACCTCATGCAGTCAGGGGGTAATTTCTAGAGTTTGTGATTAATTCATAATCCACTGGGATTATGGGTGTGAGTGCTGCTGGGATTATTGGTATGAGTGCTGCACCCAGCCTGGGGCAGATAGCCTGAATGCAACATAAGGGAGACAGACTTGCTCTCTGTAGCCACTGTTGCCGCTACTCCTCCCTTTTGCTCTTGCTGTTTTATTGCCTTCTGCCATGAACTGCTGCCCTCTCCCATGTGCCACTCTGCCTTGGAGCCAGCTGAGTATGGACTGAAACCTCCACTAACTGTGAGCTAAATAAGCCTTTCCTTTCTCAATTTTGGGTGTTGGGTACTTTGTCCCAGCAATGAGAGCAAAGTAACTGAGACACCAGCCTACTGTGGAATCTGAGATTGGAGCTCAGACTCACAGATTTTGCGTGAAGCAGGATAGGCTAAGGAAGGTCCAGGCCCCTCCAACCCCTGCCCCTCCTGCTCACCTCGCAGGTTTCGGATAAAGTCTTCGAGCATCATCTTCCTGTCAGGCTTAATGTTGGGACTATACATGTCGGTGTTGAGGAGGATGATGGCGAAGGCCAGGATGAAGATGGTATCGGGGTTGTGGAATTGCTGCACCACCTCGGGGTTGCACATGCAGTAGCGCTGGCTGTGGAAGACACAGAGGGAGGAACCATAAGTGCTCCAGACTCCAACAGTCTGCCGGTACCTTGGTGTCACCTCTTTCGATTCCCACAGTGGCACCCACTACGGGCCTCATGCAGGTGCTCCACACAGACGTGCTGGCTGGAGCAAAGGAACAGGAGCCTCTCCCAGAGGGCTCCGCGCGGCTTTCGGCTTGCAGAGCTCGGAGGACTGTGCTCTTCCCTTTCCTTGCCTCCTTGCAGTCCAGCCCACTGCTACTGGACTTCTCGGCTCCTTCAGCTGACCTTAGCATTTCTGCTTCCTGAATCACAAGCCCTCTGCTTCCTCACCCCCTGCCCCAAGCTCAGGCATGTCTGGAGGAGTCAGGAGAGGAGTGGTCCTGGACAAGCGTCTCACCTGAAGGCCTCGATGAGCCGCTCCACCTTCTGGGCCTCACCCTGCACGCGGATGTGCGCCTGGAACTTCCGCAGGGCCTCGTCCAGCTCCATGCTGGAGAAGTCCATCTCATCCACCACGCAGCTGAGGGCAGGCCGAGAAGGGGTGTGAGGAGCAGGGGGCCTCTCAACTCTGCTTGGGTTGAGGGGTGAGTGCTGGAGTGGTGGAGACTTGAACCCTGTGGACAGCCAAGACAGGCCAGGCAAGGTCTGCCAGCCCTGGTAGACCCTGGACCTCAGGGTCCCCCTGACTAACCAGGGAGGACAGCTTTATTGTTCTCGCCTGTTTTCTCTGCTCTAATGTGATAGTCCTGGGAGCCACAGACTGATAGTCCATTTCACAGCCTGACAACTGAGGCCCAGAACAGTTAACAGAGGCCAGAGAACAGGGGAGCCGAGTCAGCACTTCCTACCCCACCTCCCAACTTCTTTCTCTTCTGCCCCAGAGTGTTTCAGAGTCAAAGAAAGCCTTAAAATGGAATGAGTGCAGAGTGTGGTTCCTTGTACTTTGCCTGGAGTCCCAAGTACTCAGGAGGCTGAGGCAGGAGGGCCAGTGGAACCCAGGGATTTGGGATCCTGTTTTTCTTCCTGGTTTGTCTGTCATTTTCCAGTAAGGTCTCTAGGTGGCTGATGTCTCCCCAGTTGTCCCTTTATTCCAGTGGCCAGGGGAAGAGCCAAAAGTTGCCTTAAGTGCAGCCTTCAAACATGGCCTTGTCTCTTCCTCCCTCTGCAGGGTCCCATGCAGCCGGCCCCTGGCTGTCCACTATAACGTGCTGCCCCTCTGCCCCTACAGTTTGCTGGCAGACTCTGATGAGCTTTGAGGTCCTGGGCACTCATTCCCGGCTCACATCTGCCCTGCCCTCCAGAGTGGCCCAGAGCCCAGCACTGCCACTGATGGGTCAGAAGTCATTTGCAGAGAGCCTGCGTGGGGGTAAAGCATGTGCTGCGTAGGACCCATTATGTCCATGGTCCCAGAGACCCGGATCTTTCATTAACAATCAAGAGAGAGCATGGGGCACAGGGCTGCAGAGGGCTATGGAATCTGTCCTCCCCACCTTTTCCTGCGGGTGTAAGAGAGAGCATCTATTGCCAAGGAATTCTGGCAAGGGAGGGAAGGCTGGAAGAGGGGAGCTGTTCCCCTTCCTCTTTCCTCCTCCCTGTCTGTGCAAGATCACAGCCCTCTGAGTCCCAAGCTTACCCAGTCCCAATGCTGCTATCAGGGTCATCTGCCTGAGTGGGAGTGGGTGAGGGCCTGGGCTGGGAGGTAGAGGCAGCAAGCGTGCCACAGTGTGAGAACTGACAATACCCATGCCTTGGCCTCGAGAGGCCCAGCCAGGTGAGAGGCCACTCTGATTTCTTGGTGGCCCTTGTCACCATACGTTTGCCCCAGCTGGAACATGAGCTGTAAGGATGGCACTGCAGAGCCCACATTTTTGGGTCCCCAGAGTCTAGGCAAGCGGGCACCACTGAGCCACATGGGGGCTGCCCAGGGGAGGCATCCCATAGGCCACATGGCACAGGACTCAGAGCTGGGGCCAGTGATGCAGGGGCCCGATAGAGACCAGGAAGATGAAGAGACAAAGGGGGAAAGAAACAGAAGGAAAAAGAGAAGCATGAAAGAGGAAACCTACCAAAAAGAGGGAGAAAGGGGCTAGTGAAATGAGGACAAGGGGAGGAAGAAGGAAAGACAGGGAAGGGACAAGAGTGAGACAGAAAAAGACAGATGGGTATGATGACAGATGAGGAGACCATACATGGGGTGTCCTGGCATGGCATGGAGGTCTGTCCCCTCCCCTAGGGGGCACCTCACAAGGTCAAGGAGGTCAGGCCCCAGGTGTCCAACTCTGACTGAGTAGCTTGACCTATCAGAGGACCCAGGATGGCCGTGGCTTCTGCCTGGCACCCAGCTTTCTCCAGGACTGCCCCCCACTGATATGTCTGCCCCATCCCCAGTCCCTATCCTGCCCTTCTGGCCCTGAACCTGTGTCCCCTCAGAACCCTTCATATTTACTCTGATCCAGAGCTCCGCTACCCCCTGACCAGAAATGGGGCGGGTACTGAGGTCCAGGCACGGTGGAGGAATGTGGTGGCAGGAGGCAGTAGCCAGGGAGGGTGGGATCTGCTCACCAGAGCGCAATGGCCTAGTTTCCAGCCCTCTGCTATTCAGGTGACATGCAGCAGGCTTGGACACGCATGTGCTCGGGGCTGCAGCTAAAAGCTCCAGGAATGAGCAAAGGGCCCGCAACCTACAGCTGGCCAGGCGGAGCAGCCAGGTGGAAACACAGGCTTGCAGAGCAGGAAGCACGGGAGGGACTCATTCTGGCCATGGGTGGGGCCCCTGGGAGGACATCTGGGCTGTGGAGCTGGTGCCAGCTCTCATCTAGCACCTCCTGGCAAATGTTCTGAGGACCTTGCAGGAGAGTCTTGGGTTGTTAAAATGCAGGTCCCTGGACCCTGCCCAGATGCAGGGACTTAGACCCTCTGGGGTCACAGCCCAGGGACCTGCATTCTTCACCAGCACTCCAGGAGATGCTTAGAATGGGCCAAGGCTCGGAAGGAGTTTGGCCACTGGATGCTCTGAAAGTGTGAGTGCTGTAACTCCTGGCTGCAAGAGCTGCTTTGCGGCAGGAGCATGAGGGAGCGATAGAAGGAGGGACGACACACCCAGGCCCATCTCCCACCCCGACTTCCTCCACGCAGTGACGCCATGGATGCTAGTAGCTGATGGCAGGCGCAGTTCTGGGTTTCTTAGATCTTTGGGGAAAACTACATTTCCTGGTTCCTCCTTCCCTGTGGCGGGAAAGAGCTTTGCTGAGCAGTGTGCCTCTCCATGAGGCCAGGCACGACTCTCATGGAGTTGGGGGTCACACTAGGTGACCTCGCTGGACCTCCCAGACCCCCACTCTGACTTTGAAGTTCTCAGACGTGGGCCTGGGAGCTCGGAGAGACTGCAGCCAACCTTACAGGCACCGTGGACAGCTGTTCCCTGCTCAGACTGACACCTCACACCACAGCTGCACCTTGTCCACACGCCTCCCGGGGACCACAATGTGTCTTCCTGGTGCAGCCCATGTCCCTGGGAAGGTGACTGGGATGGAGACTATCCTCTCTTGCAGCAAGCCTGCTCGGTTGACCTGTCACCCCATGGTCTCTGTCACCTCCATGGAATCACCCACCACTCACATCTCCCACAGCAAGTTAATTTACCTGCCTTTCTTGTAAGATCCAGATGCCACCCTGACACCTGCTCCTCTCCTCTTTGTGCCTCCTCTCTCCTGATGCTTTGCAGCACCTAACAGCATCTCCCTTTCACCTTTCTTTGTGATCCTGGGTAGAGCAGGGCGCTGACAGTTCACCATACCCTGCTACTGCCTGACCCACCAGCATCCTCTTTCCTGGGTGATCACTGCCTATTTCCAGTAAGTTGCGTAACCAGCAAGTTGTATAATCTCTCTCCTTCACAGGAAGCAAAACTCAGACCACCAAGGGGCTTGGCCAACACTCCCACACTGAAGAAGAGCAGACTTTTGAGGACCATGTTGTGGGACGCCTCCTCCCCCACTAAGCCTTTTCTATTGCAACCTGGGATGGGGACCCGAGGTGGCAGGGACCTGAATACCAACTGTGGTTTACTAAGCACTGTTCTTAGTGCTTCACTAAGTATGTACAGAGATAACTGTCCCCTGCCTGAGCAATGTCAACCATTACTCATCACTGTACGATACAGGCAGAAGCTCAGAACTGAGGGGCAGGTTGGTCCCCGACTCCTACTCCCCACAGCTCTCTCTGCTCACTGGGGGATGCTACCCTCCTTAGATGTGTGGTAGTAGACTGGGAAGGTCTTGGGGGACAGCTGGGTTCAGGCACAGAGGCACCACATGTCGCATGCGTGTGTCAGGAGCTACCCCTGTGCCAATCAGCATGCAGCCTGGGGTCACCTTGCAGTTCACAGCTGCCCTGGGCAACCAGCTCACTGAAGGTTCCACGTGCCTGACCTCTTCCCTTCCCCTTCTAGAGCATTCTCCGACCACTGGCAGTGGCTGACTGCTTGACTTACTTTCACCAAACATGTCCTGCAAGGCTTCTGAGTACAAAGCAGGGCTAGGGACTTGCTGTAAGAACAAGGAGTGGAAGCTCAGTCTCTGTCCAGGGGAAGAGACAGGGACTAAGTGCAGAGTCAAAAATAGATCTTCATAATTCCAACACCTTCCACACAGAGAAAGGTCAGGGTTCTGCGAGAGGACAAAAGACATTCATTTTGCATTGCTGTATCCATGCAGGCTTCTCTGGGGACGTAACACTTCTGCTGGCATCTCAAAGATGAGTAGCACTGACCATGGGCAGACTTATGTGCAAAGGCCCCGGAGTAGGAAAGAAAGTCCAAGGTTGCGAAGTCAATGAGGCTGCACTGCAGACTCACAGGCAGAATGGAGAACAGGGAGGCAAGGCACATGGGCAGATGCTTGGCCTGCCCGAGCTATGGGGATTGAAGGAAGGACTGTAGAGCCGATGCTGCATGCAGTGGGATACAGGGGCCAGGTGTTATGACATCAGAGGAGTGATGCGATACAGAAATGATGAATGCAGGGAAGGAGCAGACAGCAGGAGTTAGCAGGGCTGCAGTCAGACGCTACTACGGGTCTGAGCTAGAGGCAGCGGGGCCGGGCAGAGGTAGGTGGTAGAGACCAACTGTGTCCATGACTTGCGCTGTGGCTTAGAGGAAGAGCTGATGGGCTGGGTGGTGGAGGGGATGCCGCAAGTGAAGGAAGGAGTAGGAGGGAGGAGTTCCCTGGGCAGGGCTGAGCTGGGCTGATCTTTATGATGAATGTGGCACTGGGAGGACACAGCTGCCGGAGGCGGGACTGGGACTCCTATTTCAGACACACTGAGATGTTGTTTCATAGAGTTGCAATTTCTCCCTCTCTGCTGAATGGTTCTTGTGAACCCCCAAATTGATGTCTTACAGTTTGCAAATTGAAACTTTTCTCTGACCCTTCATCACTCACCAGTCACCACCCCTTCTCTGTTCCTCTCCGAAGCTAAATTCCTAGCAGGAAGCCCTTCTCATGTGCCTCACTCTCATTC